GGGGGGGGGGGGCAACAAATCACCACTTCAACACTTCACTTTAAAACGACAGAACAGTCAGCCTTCTCATGAACCCTTTGGATAGAATTGGAGGGGAGGTGCTCACATCCATCATACACAGGAGCACTTCTCATCTTTGCATGGCTAAGAGCTCATTTTAAACAAAACGGGCAAATTCCTGGCATCTCTTTCGTAATCTCTTTCCCCCGACAGCCCACCCTAGTGGGGCCCAGCAGGCAGCTTTGGGTAGGGCAGGTCATCTTTTCTGGCAGGCTCTCAGAGGTTGGAGTGGGCAGAGCAGGGAACGGACCCTCTTACTTTGACAGTGAGAGTCGAGCGGAGCTCAGGGGCCACGGCCAGAGAGTCTCTCCTTTTCATTTACTAATTAAGCATGCAAATTAAATCTTAACAGTCTGCTCAGACGTGCTCCTCGAGGGAGGCTTCTTTGGCATTAGCTCTTGATTATTCCTGATCTTTTAGGAGCGGGAGCGAAAGAAAAATAAGTGTAAGCCAGAAGGAACTGAAAACAAAATTTGATTGTCTGATGAAAGAAGAAAAAAAGAAAAAGGAACATATAAAAAAGAAAAAGAAAAATGCATGACTAGTGATCAGCATTTTATTTTATTTCATTTCATCTTATTTTATTGTTATTATTTATTTTTCTAGCTTAAACAGCAATACATCTTTGGTTAACCAGCAATTAAATGGCTAGTTCTCCCAACAATGAAAATTCTGTCATCATACAATTTACAAATTGTTCTGAACAGGTCTGACTCTTTCTTTCACATAAAACAAAACATTCATAGACTCTTTTCATGCTCTTTTCCATGAAACCATTAAACTGACATTAAAAACATCCTCTAATTTTCTCCTTAGAAAATTAGAAACAACATGAGGGTGAGTAAATGAGTTAACTGGATGAACTACTCCTATCAAACTGGTCTAAGTTTGTTCTTTCAGCAGGGTTCAAGAGGACTGGCATTGAGCGAGAGAGAAGACAAAACTAGGTAAACATTCTCATAATGTATTGGCAAGGTTCTCTCAAAGATATGAACAAACATTCTTCCAGTAACATAAATGGAATGTTCGTTCAAAGTTATCTGGTTCTTAAAACGTTAGCACAAAAAAGTCATTTATGCATCTTTCATGGAAGGTTTTTTCAGAAACTTTTTTTTGTTGGGCATTCGTCTAACATTTTTCAAATATGTTTGCTTGCGAATGTTCAGAGAACATCTAATATTAACATTCCCATAATGTTTGCAAAATGATAAAATTGAATGTTTCCTTAACAGTAACAAAACCAAGAAACCTAATGGCAACATTAGCAAAACATACAGCATATTTTTGTTGGCTGGGTAATTGGCATAAGTATAGCTACTGTATATTCTGAATCAAAGGCCTCACCTTTAGCAGGTCCTGTGTGTCGTCCATGCAGTAGACGCGGATGTTGTACTCCAGTGTAGAGCAGTAGGCGGGAGCAAACAGCAGCAGTTTTAAGCGTTTAGAAGCAGCCATGCTGAGGGACTCCCCGACCAGAGCAAAGCGGCCCAGCTGCTCAGTGAACACCCGGCACGTCTCCGCCTCCAGCTGGCAGTAGTACGGCTCCGATACCACTTCCTCACCAAGCTGAAGTACATCCTGAGGAGCCAATGAGACAATGACACAAGGATCAGAGGGGAAGGCAGAGAGCGGCTGTGTCAGTGGAGTTATTGGAGAGATGGTCAGCTCTTGCCCTGAGGATGTTCCGTGTCAGATTTTAGATATAGTGAAGCGATCTGGCTGAGCAGAAACTGAAAGATCTGCATAATGAGCTGTGTTCTGTGCTCTAATGAGACACTAATAGCAGGAGTTCATCCTGAATGTTGAAGTGATCAGGGCTTACTGTTCTTCTGCTTACAAGCAGGGAATAAATCTTCTGAAATTTCTACAGCTCAGATTTACTTCTTATGTGAAAATACCAAAAGTTAAATACAGGAATAGGAGCAATTAAAATGAATATAAATTAATAAAAAATAAAATTTAATGAATGAATGAATACTTTTATGCATTAAATTTTTTTGTGGATTGTAAAGGGTATTTCTGCATTTTCTAAATAAAATAGGTGTAGCTGCCAGTTGAAAAACTCTCTGCCACAAAGCTAGGTGTTTCTTTGTATTTTTAGGTGACTTTACTGGCTTAGGTCTCTGTGATATTCTAATCCCTAGATATGTCTTAAGTTGCTGCTTCAATGTACAATATTATTCAAAAGTCTGGGGATTTATTAAATGTTTTTGAGTCTTTTATGCTCACCAAGGTTACATTTATTTGATCAAAAATGCAAAAAAAAAAAAACAATACTGTGAAATATTATTATAATTTAAAATAACTGTTATACATAATATATAAATAAATATAAATATATGAAGAGTTTGGTTCCAAAACGCTATAAATCCAGAAAGTGGCAAGATGAAAACCACTATTATCTGTTTCAAACTTTCACATAGCATCTTTAGGTTATAATAACATAAAAAATTCAAATCCAGATTTTGATTTTCAAAGATTTATTATTAGGGCTGGGCAAGTTAACGCGTTATTATCGCGTTAAAATAATTGTCCACCAATGAGAGCATATGGTGTGGACCTAAGACTGCAGCAACTTAGTGAAGACAGCAGAGAAGCGCTCTCGCTCAGCACAGTGGAGTTCATCGTTTTGTTAACTTTGTGGTTTATTATTTTGAGTCGTTTGGGAAGTGGTAACACACGGCCCTCTCACAACATATTGCTTTACAGATCTATCGCTTTTGCCGCTCAGAAATGTTCACGCAATCATGATGTACGTATCAGAAGTTCTGCGCTTCGACACTACATGAGCACCGCGCCCGAGCCCAACTGAACCGCGCTCTGGCCCACCTCTTCCAACCGAGCCAGGGCCGAACCCCGCCCGCACACGCACTCACCCATCAAGTGTTGTCCCGCGCCGCACTTTGTTGCGTTGGGTCCCGTGATAGTGCAGGTCTCTACTCGGAAGGTGCCTGTTATAATGTTATAATCGAGGCTCTGGACTCTGAGTCTGAGCATAACTTGTTGTTCTATGACAAACTATAAAATATTTTCTATAAAAACGTCAATGCCCTGGCAGTGGCAAATAGCTTTGATTACATTAATGTTATAAGTTGAGATTTACGATAAATATTTTAACTGCTACTATGTAAAAGGAATACTGCTGTAAAAAAGCACCTTATTTGTTTAAAGTGTTTGCAAACCAAATGTTATTGCACTTTTGTTCATATAGCAGTACTTTTAAATGAAAAAAGTGCACAATACACTACTTTTGAATTCATTATTGAATTTTGTGCACAACAATGCGATTCATTGCAGAAAATAATGCCATTAATCGCGATTAAAAAAATGTTTGTCGTTGCCCAGCACTATTTATTATAAAAGATTATTTTTTCCCCAAAATGCAATAAATCAATTGAATCAATATACAAGTTATTTTTCATATTGAAACTGTTGAACTTGGTCAATACTAATCTTATTAACAGCTTACATTTCTTCCCCACTGCAGAAACCACCACGGGTTCATCAATGCCGTCAAAATTATTCATTTCTTTAGGGCTGCACGATAAATCGCATGTGATTGTCATGCGCATCTCGTCAGTAAAGCCGGTTCTGTGAACAGTAAATCTCCATCACGTGCTTTCAGATGGAGCGGCATTTAATACAATACAGATACACTGTAAAATGATACAATACACATCACTGACAAGCTACGCAATATCGCATTCATAATTGAAGGCGATTCATCTGCGATTATTAACACGATATTGTGTAGCTTGTCAGTTACAGTTTACAATGAGTGGAATGGTGCGTTGTGATTGGTTGAGCAGATGTATTGCATTCTGCAGAGAAGGGAGATTGGCGTTTGTCTTGGTTTGGAAAGATAGGGAGAAAACATGACAGAATATCACGGTGAATATCGCATTTTGCGTAAAATTAAAAATGTACTTTTCAATACCGACCAGATAGGCTGCAATACAGATTTTGGGGGGAACTCAAATAATAATAAAAAAAAGGCATTTATCTCATTTTGGAACCAAACTCTTAATATATATGTATGTACATATATAAAATGTAATTTGCAATAAAGTAAATGTAATTTATTTCTGTGATGGCAAAGCTGAATTTCCAGCATCATTACTCAACATTACATCATTACAGTCTTCAGTGTCACATGATCCTTCAGAAATCGTTCTAACATGCTGATTTGGTGATCAAGAAACATATCTTCTTATTAAGGATTGTTTGATTAACAGAAGGTTCAAAAGAACAAAACATTTTTCTAACATTATAAATGTCTTTACTGTCACGTCTGATCAATTTAATGCATCTTTGCTGAATAATGTCTTAATCAACTAAAAAAGATACATAAATAATCTCATAATAATCAATCAATCAATCAATCAATCATGACCCCCAACTGATCCTAATTTTAATTTAACTTTCTCCACAAAAATCTGTATTATTTAAAGTATTGTTCATGTTCAGTATGGGATAAGTTTCATACGTAAGTTTGGGGGTATGTTCAAATTTCAAATCATTAAGTAAGACCCTTAATAATTACCCCCCCCCAATTTTAAGCCATATCCATTACTTCATCCGTTGCAAAGCCACAACCAATCTTACATCATTTTGCACCCCACAGTTTTGTGTTAATCAATTAGTGAGTTTGACAGTTTGAGGTGCTTCTCTACTAATAACCAGGAGAATAAACTAATTAACAGGTTGCCATACGCAATATGGAGCTTGTCAGGGCATGGCAAGATAATTACTTTAATTGGATGTAAGAATCCTGACAGACATCAGAGATGCCTTCAAGTGTGCCTCGTATAGGCTAGTGCAAAGAAAAACGAGAAAAGGCATTCTGTCAGAAAACGTGACTCTAGCAAAGGCCAAGGCTATTGTGAGGAAACATCCCGTTTTCTCACCGTCTCCGGTCAGATACAATCACACAATGGCTCCCCAGAGTGGCTTTAATTAGAGAAAAGCCAAGTGGGATATGTGGCGACAGAACTTTCTGCAGGAAGCTCATCAGAAAGATTCCTCGCACACCGTCTTTCTCTTTTTCTCCCGCTCACACCATTATCTAATCAAATACAGAGAGGCGGCCCTACTGTCATGCACCTCGGGATCCAGGCCAGGAAATTACATCCAGCAATCAATAAAATAAGCCACTATCTTCATCAGTGAAATTAGTATTGGCACTAGCCGTTTTCCATTTGACCACAATGAAGTCTGGGTTTTTTTTTCCCATTATAATTTTTTTTTAAAAATGACTCAGAAAAAAAAATCCTCCCGCGGTTCGATAACGACACAGACTATATTTCATTCTCTTCTGCTCGCGTTTTGCTGATCTGTGTCCTCTGGAGAAATTAATTGCTGCGAGTCTGTCTGCCAAGGCTCCTTTCAGGACAAACTTCCTTGTGTTTTTTCCCTCTTTTGTCTGCTGTACCTGGCCAAGAATGGCGACCTGCCGCCGATGGGCTATATTTGGGGCAGGGGATGATTAAAAGTGCTGCTCTACCCTCGATCTAAGACAGGCCTATTCATTCTACTGCCGCCCCATTGCTGCCACACCAAGGAGCCTGAATAATTTATGCACAGTATCAAACATGAAAGAAGACCTTCATTCTCTTCCTCCGCCCTTCCTCCCTAGGTTCCTCCTCTTCCTTGTCTTTGTGCCTGATGTATTTCGCACCGACCCGATGCGGTTCAGAGCAGATTTGGAAAAGCCATCAGGCGTAATGAAGGACTCACCCCAGCTCAGTTTAAAGGTGGGTGCTGATGGCCATCGGATGGAATGAGGAAAAGATCCATACAATTAAATGGAGATTAAATGTGAAGGTATGAGAGATAGGTGAAATGAGGAGTACGCTGATGGAGACACTTCAGGGCTTTATTGTCTGAGAGGCTATTTGAAATGATTATGCCGATACAGCCCATTTGCCTCCATAAGATATTCAATTCAGTAGCAGGATGATGGGAGAGAAAGAGATGGGAAAGGGCAAGAAAGGTGAACGTACAGCATGAATTCCATCTGCATACAGTTCAAAGCAAATTAAAATGAGGCACAATCATATAAAACAGAATCTTTATTTATCGTCACATTGACGATAAATTGGGCTGATGGAATTTATGGCTTCACAGGAGAAACTTGTACTTAAGTACGTAAATCTGGTAAAAATTTCAAGAAATGTTCACCCCAAAATCGGTAGTATGTTAATTAAAACTAAATTTTGCATAAAGACAATGGTTCCTATTTTCAAGTAATTTTTTGTTTTTCTTTGCATTATGATATTATATTCCTGTATATTCAAATACATTTCTCCCCCACATTTTAATTCCCTACTGTAAAGCAATTTATAGAAAACTAATTACTGTAAAAATACCAAATTTGTCAAGTACATTTGTGAAGATTTCAAGTCAATACGATGGTAGTAATTTTTTAATACATTTATGTAAATTATATTAAATAATCGCTTTACATGCAATTTTACATGTATTAAGTGCCATTCAGATTTTTGAGCCAGGCGGATTTTAATTGCAATTTTCCCTAAAAGAAAGAATACATAATAATTCAAAAATGAAAAATAAAGTATATTCACACACACACACACACACACACACACATACACTCTCTCTCTCACACACACACACACACACACACATACACACATGATTACATTTGTGAAAAGTGGGGACATCCCATAGGCGTAATGGTTTTTATACTGTACAGACCGTATATTCTATTGCCCTTTACCAACCCTACCCCTAAACCTACCACTTACAGGAGACTTTGTGCTATTTCAGATTTTCAGTACACTCCATTCTGTGTGATTTATAAGCATTTTGAAAAGTGGGGACATGGGGTAATGTCCTGAAAAGTCACCTTCTCCTTGTAATACCTATGTCATACCTTTGTCATTATACAAATTTATGTCACACACACACACACACACACACACACACACACACACACACATATAGTTTTAGTACTGTTTAACTTATACTTTGTCATTTAATATATGATTGTATATAAATATAAATATAATAATTCTAATATAAATATAATAATTCTCTCTATATATATATTTTAATGGAATCATTATATAAGGCAATATATAAAGTTTTAAAATAATTTAATATTTTATATAAAATTAATATTTAATGAAAAATAAAATATATAAATAAATGATATACTAGTTATTAATATATTATTTAAAAAAAATTAGATAGCTGGACATAAATACACACCTCCCACATTCCCTCATATGACTGCTTCTTGAGACGGATGGTCCAATTCTCCAGGCACGCATCAGAGCAATGGTCCATACTGAGGATGACCGGCCGGGTGAGCATCACACCGGGTGGTCCGCAGCTCACCACGGAACTCAGCAACGTCTGACACCCAGCCAGGGGCAATCTAGAGGGAGGCAGAGGGGGAGCACATGGTCAGAATTCAACTAACAGGGCCTGGATGGATGGCCAATGTCAAGCCCAGAGCAGACCCTTTAACAAGATGAGGTTCTACTATTAATCAGGGCTCTGGTGCTCTGATCTGACTTTTCACACTCTGCATTCAAGCCCTGTAGGGAGCTGGTCGTGAACACGCCATGAATGCATGAGCAAAAAATAGCCAGACCATTACCTGGTGCTTCACTTCGACAGGAAAATCTAAAACAGGAGAAAATTTCCCTCTCTGCAGCCCATGGCTCATTTACATATAACAGACAATACAACACATACACACAAGCTTTTGATATCTCAAGCCAGCATTAGTCATAAATCTGAGCAAACGGCACACACACACACACAATCATGCACGCCAGCATGAGGAGATGCCGGGCCTTTTTCAAATATGATTCAAACTGTGCATCCTTTCTTTGTGAGGCAGATCCTCAGATTGGTTCCAGGGACCTACCTCATGTCTTCCTTCTTCTGAATGGTGAGATAAATCTCATAAATCTTCCCTCTGGGAATGGCCTCTGGCGGGATGAGCAGGCTGATCCCTAATGTAAATAGGAACAAAAGAGACAAGGTAGGCTCATTTGTTCCATCTGAATGCTGCTTTTGTCACAGCTCACAGCGGGCCTCTATGTGACAAAAGTAAATGTGGTTAACACCATACAAATCCACAGTCAAGGTCAAAGATGTCATCTAGCATGTGTACTTTCCAAAACTCTTTCACTTTATGCCCTGGAGATGTGGACAGTGACAGGAAGTGCCTAAAGCAGGGGTATTCGATTAAAGTTACAAGAGATCCAGTCTCTACCTTTTCAGCAAACAGCCAAACAATCATAGTTTACATTGTTTCATAGGTCAATGTGTTGCCTATAACATTCAACAAGGTGCACTTTCAGAAAATGTATTGTAAATTTACTTTCAGAAAATGTTTTTTTTCTTTCGCAAAATGCCTTAATAAAAGTAAGAAATAATAAATCCTAAATAGTCTTATCTAAACTTCTGTATTTGACAGGAATTGGATCTCAAATAATTAATTCAATTTTAGTAAATTCAAATGTGAATTTATTTAAAAAAACATTTGATATATTATTTACAATAAATAAATAAAATAAAAGAAAAAGAAAAATAAGTTACTCTAGGCCATTTGTAACAGTGAAGATGACACATTTTTTTTAATTAAATAAAACATAGTATTATAGTATATACAATAAATATACTATAATATATAATTATATAAGGAGTCAACGCCTAACTCTACACAATAAACTTTGCTGTGTAACTTGTCTAGTCTAAAATAATCATATTTAAGAAGAAAATATAAAAGCAGCATAAGCCATAAAACATCCTCAAATTAGTCACAAATTGAAACTAAACAATGTGCACTTTCAGAAAATGTATTGTAAATTTACTTTCAGAATTGTTTTTTCTTTTGCAAAATACCTTGTAAAAGAAAGAAATAATAAATCCTAAATAGTGTTATCTAAATTTCTGTACTTGACTGGAATTGGATCTCAAATAATTAATTACAATTTTTACATTTTTAAAATCAAAAAATAAATAACGTGAAAAATGTAAATGTGAAGATAATATACATGCAAAAAATAATAAATAAATAAATAAATAATAAAATAAAATAAAATAATACACTATTATAGGCTCATATAATTATTATACAAGTAGTCAACCCCTAACTCAACAATAATAATAATAATAAATCCACAATAAACTTTGCTAAAATATTTGTATTTAAGATGAATTCACAAAAGCAGCATAAGCCATAAACCATCCTCAAAATAGTCACGGATAAAAGGTATCAGGCATTATATTTTGAAGGCCAATGTTCTTAGTCGAGGGAGCCCTGGTTATTTCATTTCCACTGCCTCGTGAGCTGTCTCTTTGACCGCGAGTGATTCATAATGTGACAGCCTGATGAACCCTCTGTCTGTGATTAAGGAGACTAATTGGTTTGAATATACTCTGGTGGTGTCCTTGGAGTGGATAGAGTTGCAGGCACTATGAATGCGCACGCTGCATATCGGCTTACAGTGCCACAGCTGACAACTAAGTCACTGGCTCGGCTCGGAGAAGATGCAGTGAGGTATCCTTCAAAAATAAGAATGGGAAATATAAAACAAGATGTTCCCCAATTACAGCTATTTTCGTGAAAATGGAAAACGGTCGTCATCGTCATAACACAATCATTAGTATATAAATGGAAGCGCTTCTTTGCCCGCTCTGCCTCGTTACTTGAAAAAAACCTCTTTAGAAGGTGTTCGCATTCGCTCGTGTCCCGATTTACATAAAACTGCTTGGATTACCGTGTAATTGGATCACTTCACCTTTCCATTTTGGGCCATGTCGGAATAATAACGTTGCAGTTTAACAAAGCTCCAGAGCTCTTTCACAACACTCCTGACTAAACACAAAAAACATTTTGTACTGTTTGCAGTCATATAATCTTACCAGTGTTAGGGAGGGTTAGGCGACCACCCAGGAAATTGAAAGTTCCGTAAGACGTATTTACGTTGTCTCTCGGTAGCGTTTTAAAATACGTCTGAGAGGACAGGCGGTTCATGAAATCATTGGGGTCGCTGGGTAGTTTGCCGTTGTGCAGCGTATGGGAGCCGTTAGGAAGAGGCTCCAGGAGGGGGCCGTTGCTCACGGAGAACTTTCCGGTGACTTCGTGGCGAGAACGCAGCGTTCCCTGGTAACTTGTGGTGGTGCTGGTCAAATCGGGCTGGATGGTGAGCAAATGAGAGTTTTCTGTAGATACAGAGAGAGAGAAACAAGTGAAAAACGATTCGAAAGGTCACAGTGGTTAAAAGTGCACAACACAAATTGAAGTTCAGTGCAAATGCACAAATCCATGGATGTAGCCAGGCCTTCAGAGCTGAGAGAGACTCACTCGTAAATAAATCAATGCCTCCTCCTCCTCTTTAACAGCCACAGTCAATTCCATACAGAGTTTAAAGAAAGCCTAGCATGGTTGAAATGTTTTTACACTTTCTGTGTGGCTTTTTTCAGGTTCAAATCCCCAAAATCCAACTCCGTATTTTGAGATTTCAGAACCGCTCTCGTTTTTTTTCCCCACGTTAAACACTTTACATATGTAAAAATAAAAGTGCACAGCAGTAGGCAGATTTGATTCGTGGGAGGATCAATGGAAATCAGCTTAATGCTACTATTACCAAATCACTTCCCACGGTAGCAGGCGGACGAGTGAAGGTCTCCTCTCACTTATGACTTCAAAGATGATTTCAGTAAAACCACCACAATCGTTTGCAACTGTGAAGATGACACACAAAACTATGACTATTGCCATTTAACGTAAACACCGCACACACACGAACACAATTGCGAGACTGTGAGTTGCGATTTCCACAGGTGGCACAGGAACACGGGCACTGGGATGAAAGGATGGGTGTGAAACACCGTGACGAGGGGTGGATAGTGTAGAGAAACAATAGCCTACTGCTGCGGGCTGCCCTACGCGGTGCCCACACACCTGGCTTGGTGGGCTTGATGCCCATGGGCTGGAAGCCAGTGGTGAGGATGGAGGAGTCGGCCACATCTGCATCAAGACCTTCCTTCTTCCTGCGGTAGACCAGCACCAGCACAATCAGCAGCAGAGTCAGACAAAGAGCCACCGCTACGATCCCCACGTACAAGGCCACATCCTCAGCACCCGATGCCGCTGCGCAGAGACAGAAAAACAGACACAAGTGTCACATAAAATATTGGTTACCATATTGTCAATATTAGCACTTTTTTATTTGTCAGCAATGAGTCGAAATAGCTGATAGAAGCTGTAACTAAAATATTTTGATGCTTCATTTTATTTGAAGCATGTCAACTTCTGGATTGTAGATCTAGTTTACAGACATAATATTTATAATATCAGCAATTATATTGATTAAAACAGAGATATGTTGTCTCTGTAACACTTTCAAATAATGTATTTATTATTTTTATTAAAGACATTAATGTGTTATGTAATGCTGAACGCATTACTCCAGTCTTCAGCGTCACATGATCCTTCATAAATCATTCTAATATGCTGATTTGGTGCTCAAGAAACAGGTCTTATTATTATCAATGTTGAAAACAGCTGCTTAATATTTTTGTGGAAACAGTTATCTTTTTTCAGGATTCTTTGAACAGAAGGTAAAAAAAATCTACTTGAAATAAAAATCTTGTAACATTACAAATGTCTTTAGTGTCACTTTTGATCAATTTAACCTGTCCTTGGTAAATAAAAGTATTAATTTACTGTATGGCCCACTGAAATGGCCATACAGTAAACCAGTAAACAAAGGAGAACACAGCATAAAATACCTTCTCTTTTTGACTGGAAGAAAAAAAAACCTGATGATGATAAATTGAATCAAGAACACAACAGAAAGAGGTAAATGAGGTCAACCTACAATTATTTTAAATTTGTAATGTGTATGTTTTCACATAAAGAAAAATAGCATAATGCATGCAGTACTGCACTCCAAACATTTGCCTAAATAAATGATTTAAAAATGCATAGTGATAATCAATGTCAATTTTAGAATGAAATACCTGTTCTTCCCGTGTATTACTTTGTAATCTGATGTTAACCAAATTTTGCCAGATGCCTTTTTTTTTTTTTTTTCTTCCAAGCATAAAATTATTAGCAAACAGAATTACCTAAACCTGACTTGGCTTGCATTGTGCGTAAGGGAATTAACTGCTGGGAAAACATTTCAGTAGATGTGCAGCTTCCCTACTGCCGCCTCCTTAAAAAGGTAATCATATCTGTGCTTCAGTGGGTTGTTCTGCAGTTGGAAAGACGGGAGTGTTTGCTGGCAGCCTGCTACATCAGCATTCTTCAAGCTGCTGAATTTATGGCCACGATTTTGAAAGACACTTCCTTCCAAAGAGAGAGAGAGAGAGAGAGAGAGACAGGGAAAGAGAGTGTGTGTGTTTCTGACACAAAGCAGATTTCCTTATGAATCCACATAATTTCATGTGCCCTCTCTCATTGTGGCCTGCAGCTTTATGGCTAAGTACCCAGAGACAATCACATCCAAAATTATTCTAATCAATTGTGTCGGTGGGAAATGGGATTTGTGAAGGTTGTCTCTGTGGCGTGCTGATTTGTTGGGTGGTAGAGGTGTCTGCGCTCCCCGCTGGGACAGACCCAGTGGCTCTGTATTGTGACGAGAGACTGCAGAGGTGTATTCAGGCCTATTTAGATGCTCCGTGGACTGACAGCTAAAAGCTACGAGGAATCGCTCAGCTGAAGCTCCTGAATTTTGGGGTAGAGTCACAGCTGTGCATATGGGCCATTACACTGAGCATTACGCCCTGCATCATAGTACAACCTCCAAGTGGGGTCAACGGAAGGGCAAATCAAAAATAAATGTGCATGACTTTAATAGTCTAAAAACTTCAGGGAGAAATTGCTGAGAAATTACATCTGATAAAACCAGTGCTTTAGAGTAAATAATGCCTCTTAAACCATATACAAATATTATGGTAACACTTTAGTAAAGAGACTAATTCTCACTATTAACTAGTTGCTTATTAGCATGCCTATCATTAACATATTGGCTGTTTATTAGTACTTACTGTATAAAGCACATATTCTGCATGACCATATTCTACATCCCTAATTCTACCCAATACCTAAACTTAACAACTACCTTACTAACTATTAATAAGCAGCAAATTAGGAGTATACTGAGGCAAAATCTATCTAAATCTATCTATCTATCTATCTATCTATCTATCTATCTATCTATCTATCTATCTATCTATCTATCTATCTATCTATCTAAGAATGAAAACATTCCTTGTTTGGTTACTAGTGATTTGTTTACCTGTTTAGAATAATTTTAATTAACAATACAATAAATTAATACAATAACAATACAATAAATTATTATATAATTTTAATGAACAAGTTTTTTTGTTTAGATTTACAGAAAGCAAAATCTACAAGGGACAGACGTTCTATTTTACGAAATTATCTATCTATCTATCTATCTATCTATCTAAGAATGAAAACATTCCTTGTTTGGTTACTAGTGATTTGTTTACCTGTTTAGAATAATTTTAATTAACAATACAATAAATTAATACAATAACAATACAATAAATTATTATATAATTTTAATGAACAAGTTTTTTTGTTTAGATTTACAGAAAGCAAAATCTACAAGGGACAGACGTTCTATTTTACGAAATTTTTGTTAGTTTGTAAAATCATTCTTGTGTATATTGGGTTTAATTTAGAATTTCCCTTTGAACCCCCCTTTTCTAGCCCTTAATTAGCCTTTTATTTACTTTTCACTAGTGTGAACAAAACTGCACAGGAAGTTAGAATCACGATCACACTTACGTACATCACTCTCTGCTTGGTTTGTTTGGACTAAACGAGAGTGAGATTATCAAAGGAAATTATTCAGTTAGAATTATCCCAAAGCCCAAAATCACACAGACAATTAAAACAGGGCTGTCAATTACCATTATGCCAGTCTGCGTCACTCTAATTAAACTGTCTTCTAATTGTTCATCACACTCTTAATCACCAGAGTCGCAATAAACACCCTCATTGCCATCAGCGGAGTTGTTACTTAATACAATCTACACTTCTGAGGACTACAGGTGCCTGGTCCAGTTAATTTCATCCAAATATAGCTCCATTGTTCTGACGTGACTACAAAGTATCACTAATGCCGTGCGGGGGTCATCGGCAACATGTCTTGACATGTTTTGTTGAACGCGTCTGACTGATGACTCTGTCAATACGACATGATACGGTGCAAGCAGGAGGGTGGCCGAGCTCCAGGAAGTGGCATTACATCAGGGCTTGTTTCGTGACAGCTGGTCAATGGTGAATGACTGAGCGCATGCAAACAGGAATTGCTCTTGCGTCTCTGTATCGACGATGCATTAAGTATGTCTGCGGGAAGTGACTTTGTCATGGTTTAAGAGGAATTATGATATCATAAACTGACAGTTGACGCACCGAGACACGATGGGGGCTGTAACGTGTGCACTCCAGGTGCTGAAAAAAGTATGAAAAAAAAGAAGATTAACAGGCTGAAGAGTCTGTAAACCTGTAAAACCCTCCAGAGCGGAGACAAACTTACTCAATTACTCACTGAATCATGAAATGCAGTTTCTGGGAGAAAGTGGGAAAAAGTAAATACATAAACAAATAACATGGTAAAATCTCAAATCTATGAAAACACTTAAATACAACTTTAAATTGTATTTTTTATATTGATATATGTTATAAATATTATATATTTTGTGAATTTATATGACAAATTAATAAGTTGTCACTAATATAACCAAAGCAAATAATAATAAAAATTAATATTAATACTAATATTACTATTTATTATATATAAGATTTAAAATTGTATTCATTAAATATATTGTCAATTGATATAACCAAATTACTAATAATTACTAATATATAAATAAACAAACAAACAAACAAACAAATGAAGAAAACATGAAATAAAAATATTAAATACATAGTTGTGTATCAAATTATATTATAAATGCAGATGCATGCTCCAACACATTAAGCTGTAGTGCTTAGTGAAACCCATGCTAAAAATATAAATCAAATAAAAATGATAAATTAATACAATTAATACAAGTATAAATGAATGTGTTTTATCAATTAATTAGTATAAAAGATCATTATCCACACTCATGAGCTCAGTCTTCTTTTTTAGTTTTATTTTACATACATCGTTGATGGGAGATTTACCAATTAATACAACCACAGCTACAAATTAAAAGTTAAATTATATGTTTTTTGTGTGTGTGTGTGTGTGTGTGTGTGTGTGTGTATTTAGTTAACTACACTTACTGAAAAAACAATTTCCACTTTATATTTTTTTCATGTTCAATTGTGTGAGATAGAAGACCTTATATTACTTTATACTTATACTTACTTTAATTATATTATATTACTCGTCACGACATAAAGAAGTGCTATAAAACCGATATATTTAAATAAATAAGCTGAAATAGTATATATTATATTGAATTCCACATCTTAATGTTCCAACCACTGGCCACGGCTCCTACGAAATGCTGGATGTGATTCGTCCCTTAAGCTTCTCTCCCCATTTATCCACCTGAACCGATCTCCCTCACCCCATCTCCCTGCTTTATTTCACCAGGGAACCTCTTTGCACTTATCAGAGCCTCCTTGCTCAACTTTTTATCAGGTCTAACAGATGTATTGAAGTTGCCTATAGACCGGGCTGGCATTCCCTCTGCCCTGCTCAATAAATGAACAGACATCCATCACGCATTAATTGACACAGTTAATCAGCTTTATAATTGAATGGATTCTGCCTGATTCCGCGCGGCAGTATTCTGCCTCCACAGCACCTCGTCTCTGCCTCGCTTTCAAGCGCCTTGACGTGGAGGTGGTGGGGAGGAAGGCAAGCGAACTGCTTTCGGTATCAGATTCCCCCACCCTTGCTCCCTTTTTGCTGTAATCAACACAAAACAGAGCAAGCGATGTTCCTGCTGTTCCAGAGGCTGATGTAAGGTGTGTCGAAACACAGGTTTCTGGAGGTGTAACAGAGTGGGCTCCGAACATCTTGTGCTGTCTAACAGCGGGGCATCAGGCCTGGTCCCTGAGGGGACCAAACTCCGCCTGTGGGTAAATCTCAGAGAGTGCCTCCCCTC